ACATATATTTGAAAGTGGGTTTATTGTTTGCTTTCTAACTGAGGGACAGCTTATTTTACGTCTTCCACTGGAAATCCCTCACTGTGAATGGTTTGGTGGAGCTTTGGTTCCCTCTCAGAGAGGTGGCCAAACCTGAACCAGCCTGTTGCATCTCGTCGTGTTTTAAATGATTTACTGGAACAGTCGCGGTTACAAATTACACTCAGCTTCTGTTTTTATTTATTTCCACCGGGTTAGCTTAGGTTGCAGCTGTTTAATGATCAATAGCTCACCTGAAGACCAAATAAGGGAGGAACTGGCCGTGCTCCCAGTTTTCTGTACGTTCATAGCACAGCTGGCTACTCTGCAGAAACTAAGTGATTCAAACCTGACCAAACTTTTGCCAGAATAAGCTAAACTTGTTTGGTGTCCAACAGAAAAGCTCCTTACCAAATAAACAGGTTTTTATTTGTAACAGCGTGGCATTTTGGGACGTCTCCCCTTCCTTAGTGAGAGTTAATGTGAAGAGTTTTACTGTCATAAAACTGTTGCAGTAGTTTGTCTAAAAAGATGGGAGTCTTTTCTGTTGCAGCTTACAGTTATTTCTTAGAATAACTGATGTTTTGTCATTCATTTTTATGCATTTATGAAATCAAATAATTTATTCCCTGGTTGTTTGTGGGGATTTTTTTTGTGATTCACATTGTGAAATATCTTTAATTTTATCTTCTGGTGTGTTCCCCTTCTACTCAGTAGTTGACATTTCTGAGTTTTAAGCAGTAACTGGAGCACCTGAAATCAGAACTTTGTCTTAAGTCAACGTAAAAATTCAGCATGGCTGCCATGCTTAGAAAACAATTTTTAAAAAAGGGAATTAAGTTGTTTATTTGCACATCTCAGGGTCTGCTCAATCCTTAACGCTGTAATACACATGTAGCGCCAGCAGGTGGCAATAACCTTAACAACTTAAAAATACAAAAGATCATTGACGTCCACACTCCGGTTTGTCAGGTGGCAGTAAATGCACCTTAAATTGCCAACTGCCAATAAAAAAACTAAATAATAGGAAGAAGAAGAAGCGCCCTCACTCTCACAACGTGACTAAACAAGATAAAAACAGATTAGCTAAAAACAATGCCTCGGTGCTTTTTGACGGGTCAAACATTTCTTATTGGAGCCACAAGCTAGTGGTGCGTTGTACTGAAAGTAGGATTTTTGCATCACACTTAACAGTTTTCCAGTTGCAGGTTGGAAAATTAGGGAGATTTGCTAACTGTTGGTTTGCTAAGCGATCTACGGTTAGCAATACAACCAGAAAAGTTTTTCCAACACCTTCACTGGCATACATTAAACTGTACCATTTGTGCAACTGACTAAAAGAGATTTAAACTGACCTAATAAACAGGTTTTAGTGACTGCTGTCATTATGTTTTATATGATTGGCAGCCATATTGGATTCTAAGACTGAGTTTGATTTTCCGAATCAGAATTCTGCTACAATGTATTTTTCTGGCTTGCAACTCAGAAACTCTGACTTCCGAGTACAAATTGAATGCACCACAAATCTCCTAAACTTCAACTTAAGTCCAGTACGTTTTGGCTCCATCCAGGATCTTATCAAACGACAATCTGTGCTCGCTTCTTGGCAGAACGAGGTCCAGATCAGGAATTTTGAATTAGTTTGAATAAATGTGAACAGTCAAATGAAATCCAGCAAATAACTGGCACCAGGTAAAATCAGTACTTGAAAAGGCATTAACAGAACAGATAGAGCTGGAGCTTTACAGAAAATGTATTGTTTAATGCTTGAAAGAGGTTTGATATGTGAACATATGTGTTTTAAAAGAATCTAAAGGTACAGAGGTCAGTGGGGGAGTTGGGATGGAAACACTAGTAAACCAGCTGTAATGTGGACGCACTGTTAAAACCTTGTTTCCACATAACTTTTAGGATTCTAATTGATCTCATATGTTGTTAAAATGTCCACCTTCTGTTGGCCTTGGTCTCCAAATCACTTTGACTAAACTATATGTTTATGAAGCAAGTTTTTCATTTTCCTTTTTTTAACCATAAGATTGGCTTTTATGTGCCTAACTACTGAGTTCCCAAATTTAATAAATTGGCTTTTCTAATAATTCTTCACAAACTGCAACAAGTGGGTAAGAATTTCTGTCTCGCACATTTGGGTCAGTTCCGGAAAAATGGAACATCTGTGTGGAAATAAGCTGGTCATGCTAAGCTAGCATAGTGGCTAACTGGAGTTCAAAAGACAACCCATTGTCACTTTCATAGCAACCATCCCGTTAGAAGCTCCGCCCCTGGCCTCAGAGAACCTTCCAGAACAGAGTCTTACCTCATGCTCCTCACACAGTGGGAAGTACATTTTAACATGTCTGTAAATGATGCTGACTGCTTGTTTTGGAGAATTTAGCTGTGTTCAGATGGACTGAAACAAATGAAGCCACTCAGTCCTCACTGCGTGCGGTCTGAGTGTGTTTCTGAAGCTGCTGCTGTGTATTCAATAGGCTCGGGTCATTTTACCAGTTTGTACTTTAAGAGTTTGGTTGTTTTGTACACTACCTGTATAGCTAAGAAAAGGAGCCGTTAGCCATGGGTTGCATGGTACCAAACACAAATAGTCGATACCTGCTTCGGGGACTCGGTATGACAACTGATGATGTAAAGATCTTGTCTTTGATCTATTTTTGTTGTACTTGAAGAAAATTGAGTTTTGAGACTTCAATGCACCCAGACAGGAGCTAACTTAGAGCTACTTTAGCTTAAAAAAGGGTCAAAATTGATAATACTTCATAGAAATTAAATGGTCCAAGAAGAGATTAGATTCATAACCAATGGTAATAGTGTAAAGCCTTAAGGGGAAAAAAATACAATTAAATAAAAGTCTACAAGAAATGTAAGCATTTTTGATGATTTATCTCCAGGATTCATCAAAAGTTCTAAACTAACAAATTAACCAAGTTTGATATGCAATGATTAAATGGGTGCAAAGTGGTTAATTTATGGCAGCGGTATCCAAAGTGTGGCCCAGGGGCCAGTTGTCATCTACTTTCTTTGGTTTCACGTGTGTAAAGCTGTTAATTGACTGCAAAGGTAAACTATTTTGTCGATGACAGATTTATTTGAAGAGTTTAAAAGAATTAATTTGATAAAAATACAGTTTTATAAGCTAGCATTGATGTAGAAACTGTACAGTTTAGAGTTTTGTTGCATACATTTAAAAATGGTAACTATTTCAAAGCATTGTTATGTGAAAGAGATTCCAGATGCTGGGTTAGCAGCTAGGCAAACTGGTATCCTGCTCCAGGACCTAATAGGCTCTAGGTTTACTGTGGCTGTTGTCATAAAGCAAATAGCTGTTTATTTTCTTTATACAAGGCTCTGGCTTCTTAAAGGAAAAGTTCCCCAAAGACCCTGCTGAGGTTGGCAGGTTTTACTGGTCGGATCAGGAAGTGCTTCCTCGTCCAACACAGATTCACACGCAGATTAGAAAAAATCCTATCAGAATTTATTTATTTTTTTTGACATTTTGAATACTGTTTAGGTAATGCAGAATAGTTTTACCTGCAGACAACGGCCTTCAAGATTGAAGAAGTTGCTTCCACAGAATCTTCTTCATTATAACAAGTTGTCTGTCTAGTCCATTTAACCTTTAAAAACGTTATGTGCTCCAGTTGAAACACAGACCAAGATTGTCTAATTAGTGTAAAGAAATTCAGTCAACATTAAGCAGTATTTAAAGATGGCGCCAGAAGACGCTTCCCAGCACTAAAGCATCATGAAGCTAGCCAGCTCTGATACCTGTCCTTTGACTGGCACACATCACAACTAATACAGAACTAATATCCCATCATACCATGGTGTATACACCACACACCTAGCATGTAAGGAAACACTAGCTGTGTTTCCATTAACTGTATAATTTACCAATTTCGGGGGAAAATAAATCACACTTTTCAATAAATAGTTTTGGTGCTAGGATGAGGTGGGTTATGGCCACATTAAAATCAATTTATCTCACAAAACTGCAACGGAAACACTTTTTTTCACGTTACACGAGTCACAAGATCAACAACCGGATGTTTCCACTGGCGTAAACCACAAAGAAAACGACAGGAAGAAGGTGGAGGATGATTGCATAGCATGTTTCTTAATGACTTATTTCATGAACAAACTTGTCCATGTGTTATTTGAATTATGTTTCTTACTTAAAGGAATGACCGCATTTGCAAAAGTTTCAACGTTTGCAGAATATTGACAAAGTTTTTAATAGAAACACAGTTACTAAGACCGTATATTAAATAGGTCTAATCCTCAACTGAACAGTATGTACTATTACATCCCTTCCTACACTAATTTAATCTTTAGCCACCCAGTAAACCCATAGCCAGGCATAATAGGGGCTCATTTTCACCTAGCTGTCTCCTAAATTATGAATCCAGCTCTGGGAAAGCTCTCGTAAAAATCGCATGCGCATTCAATGTCGTGCTAAAATCACAGTGCCATCTAGTGGCCTGTCATGACAGCTACAGCTGACTCGATGTGTCTTGGAGGTGCTGTCTAAACATGGGATTTTTTCCCAATCAGCATCCGAAAATACTGACAATTTCCAGGCAACGGTGTCATGTAAACGGAGCCTGAATTTAAAAAAAAACAACAAAAAAAAAAACACTTTCCATCATTATTCTCCAGCATCCTCCAGACCAGAAGTATGAAACCTGCACAATAAATGCAACATAATTAGCCTTACTTTGTGTTTTAGGTAGGCCTCTCTGTTGGTTGGTAGCTCTCATGTAGCTGTAGGTAGAACTGATTTCTGGTGAAAGTCACTGGTTGGCTGCAGGAGAACCAGTTTGTGTGCTGGGAAATATGAAGACCTCCTTAGTAAAGATGTATTTATTATAAACATGATATTTATTTGTTTTTTTTTGTGTGATTATGGATCTGTGAAACGGGCTTCCAGCTGTAACCACAGCTTTTATTGGGTTACTTTGCCCAGAAACACTGTGTTCAGTTCCCTCAGTTATGTTTGGGTTATATTAATGTAAATACTATGTATATGAAAAGATGCTGAGAAACATGTAGAAAAAAAATAGATCTATTTATTCTGAAATGAAGTTTTATTTCCAATGTTGGAAGACATTACATAGCAATAAACATTGCACAGAGTTGACCTCAACTAATGAGTTGCGCCGATCGTCTTTTTTCTTTACAGTCGTACAAAAACTTTCTTCCTCTCCCTATAGTCCTTCCTTTTTGGTTGCTTTTTTCTTCCCACACCTCTTCATCAGCCCATCACCTTGTCCTGACCTTGACCCTTCTCCTGCCGTGCAGAAGGATTGAAATTCTTTCCTCCCTCGCTCCCGCTCTAATCTGAGCCGTTTTCAGAGCCGAGTTTATCAGCAACCCCCTGTTGTGTTTTTTTTTTTTTTTTTTTGTGGTCTTGCAGTGGTGTGGTGATTAGACTTCTTGTGAAGGTTAAATATTTTACAGCACAGAGGAATTTTTTCCACATCACAGATGGAACCGTTTGAACTTTCAAAAAATGGATGCAATCCATGCAAAGAGCAAAAGAGTTGTAGATGAAATGAAATATGAAGTGTTTGTCTCACCCAGCTCTGTTAAAATGTCAAGTTTTTGTGGTGTAAAAAAATGAATTATGAATAATCTATTTTGTGTGATATTTGTCCTCCTTCATGCAACTGAAAAAACTAATCTAAAAATGGACATATTCTTGTTGTGGACCATTTTAGTAGCTTTGAACTGACTGATACCTTTATATAATGAGATCCTTTCTTTTACCCTTTATGACGTCTCTATAAAATATGGCATCTGGCAAAAGTCAGAACGGTCCTACTTTATGGACAGTAATTCAGATTATCAGCTATTAAACTGACGTGTGAATTTGAAAAAAGACTAAAACTGGATTAAAGGATTCTTCTGCAAAATGTTTGAGTGTGCATACACTTTTGCAACCTGGTTGTTGCAACTTTTTCCAATTTAGGTTTTTCCTGTTATTAACTTTCCATTGAGCTGTTCAGAATAAATGTCACATTATAGATGGAAAATGTACATTTTTAGTTATTTAACGTGCCATTTTTTACATCACAAAACCTTGATGTTATACCAGGGATAGGATACATTGAGCTACTGAGGTGTAGTCTTTTATAGTTTGTATGGGAGCAATGCAAATATGAAATAAATTGTGGACAGAGGACTCATAAAAATAAAACCTTATATTCCAGCCTATAATTACTTTTTTCTTTTCTTATTCTCAAGGTGTAGAAATATTTCATAAACTGAGATTAGGAGGAGGTTCATGTGGACAGCTTTACTGAAAGTCTATCTAAATGCTTTTTAAAGATTTGTAGCCACTAGTGGCCTTTATTCAAATTGACTAGACAGAAAATGGGGGAAAACATGCAGCAAAGCTCCCGAGGTTGGTTCTGGAACCTCAGACCAAACACCACAAGCTGCCCTGAATTAAAGAACGATGAAAAAACTGGTTGAAGGAAAAATAACACTTTATTCATTAGTTAAATCTCAATTAAATGCTTGAATACATCATATTTAGATATTTATTTTCACATCAAAGTTTGATCAAAAGCACAAAGTTCAATAGATGACCAAAAATATACCGTAAAAACCCCTGGAAACCCGACTTCTTTCGAACATAATCAAAGGATGCAGTCCAGCCATTTTTTTTTCTTTTTTCGTTTGTCTGTTAGGATTATAGCGTGTTAATCTGTCTGCACCAGCATCTAGAGTCAGAAATGATTCATTTTTGACTTTAGAATTTGCGTGTTAAACATGGACCCAAAGTTAAATGGGATTATTCCAGGGTTCATTGGGTTCTTTCCAATAGACAAAGAATCGAGACAAATAGCTTCTCAGTTTTAAGAGATCACTAAAATCCCGGTGTTTGTTTCTGTCACTTCGTCAACAAAACACCGATAGATTAAACTCCTTATGCTGAGCGTCTACCAAAGATCAGGTATGATATCAGGGTTAAAACATCACGAGTAAAACACTTGTGTTGTTTTATAATAAGTTATTTCACTAGTAATTGACACATTGATTTATCTGTCTTTGCCTATAGTTGACAAGCAGTTGGAAGTATAGAAAATGTCAGATGAATATCAAACAAAAAAAGATTTTCACCTCCACCAATTAATTGGCAAAGTGCCTAAAAATGCTAGTATGTGTAATCAGAAAGTATTTCTTCATGTCATCAGCAAATGATTTAATGATGGTGTGACTATGCTTATGTTAATCCTATTAAGGAGTAAAAATTGATATTTGCAAACTGTGTTTGCAAGGATCAGTGTTTTAGTTTTCAATACCTTTTTTTACTTGAATGTAGCTGAAGACATTGCATGCTATCTGTTCAATTTCAGATGCTTCTCCACACTCCATCAGACATGCAAACCAGCCATCTTCAAGGTATGCCAGGTCAGAGTAACCACTGGGGCCCTTGTTGAGGATCCAAGGGTTGCTCCATGCACTTGGATCCTGTGGGGATTTGTTCAGATACACCCCTAGGTCCACTCTTTTGGACTGACTGGTCGGATGGGAGTAAAGCAGCCACCGCGGCTCCAGATTTGCACCAGCCACTCCAGGTTGAGCTGGAAAGGAGACCACACTCCCCTGACATCCCCCGCCTGTTTCCACGAGCTTCTCAGCAAAAGGGAGGGTGAGGAAATCCTCTCCCCCGTTGTCACTGACTGCCTCCACACGGTAGCCTCCCTCATTGCGGGCATTACAGTAAACGTACCTGCTGCCTTCGCCATCCGAAACCTCGGCCATTTCGCATTCAACCGATTTGTCGTCGAGCGTGTTGCCCAGCTGCCACGTGGCGCCTTTGTCGTCACTGTAAAAGCAGAACGCGCGCGAGACGGCAAAAAAACACGACACGCAGAAGCACGAGGGGAAGCGAGAGACGTAAGCGTAGGCTGGAACGATCAGTCTACCGCTTTCTGTTTGGAGGCCGTGACCCGGACCAACGGCAAACGTTGCCCACTGTTTGGTCTGAGGAAAATTTACTGTCAAATCAGTGACCGAGCTCCAGGTCTCACCGGCGTCTCTGGTCGTCATGTAGCAGAGACGGGCCTTGTTGACGCCCCAGAACCTCTGCCATGGTTCTGAAACGTTTCCTTCGACACAGATGAAAAACAGAAAGAGTGTCTTGGTCGTCTTTTCGTAGACTGGGCATGGATTCATGGGACGATATCCACCAAGATGGACCTTCTCCACCACGTTTCTGGACACTGACCACTGCAAAAGCATACAACTCTGAGTTAGAGCCATGCTGAAATGAATGGCATAGCAAGAAAACAGTTGGTTTAGACCAGTGTTTCTCAAACATTTTCAGATGGAGGACCACTAAACCCATTTAACAAACACTCACGTACCACCTAACTTGAAATTGCCCCCGAGATAACCCCAACATCTTACTATATGCAACCTGAAATGAAAATATTAATGTTAGTCTTAACTGACTGTTCATCTTAAAGAGAAGGATGATGATGACAAAATTATGAACAAGTCTACTCGAGGCATTTTGAGTAAGAGATTCTAAACTGCGTATTCTAAGCCCAACATAAATAATAATTTTATTTTAGGTGCTACAGATGCAGTTAGTCAGCGTGGGGCACAGCACTGCTCAAAAACAAAAGTTCTGCAACTCACCCCAAAAAACTGAAAAATATTCCTGCAGACTGAATGACTCTGATATCTTCAGCTTTTCCAAAGCTTCTCATCCATTATTAATTTAAACACAATCCTTTGGTAAGCTAACTGTAGCGTCAGACTTTAAGCTCACATCACAGCAAATAAATGCTCATTTACCTGCAGCACCTTGCAGACCACAGGCTGAGAGAGACTGGTTTAGACGATTTACCTTAACACTTATTTCAAGAGTGGCTTCGTCTTTGACCAGCTCTCCTGTTTTCATGACCAGCACCTCCGCACTGGCATCATTTGAGGTTCGCCGCTTCTCTGCAAAGGCCAGCAGAATCTTTTGGTCTTGGTCATAGTGCAGAGCAGGAATCCTGTACACCTCCTCCTTGTTGGAAAGGAAGACGGTACTCTGCTGTCCGGAGGTAAGCAAGGCTTTCTTTTCCATAGTTTCTCATCTGTGGGCAAAACAATCAATCAGTGTTTTATCAGGGGCAGAGCTGTGAGGGAGGAGACTTTATTGCAATGAAGTGGGGGCCATGTCAGTGTGATAATAAGCATCTTGATTAAAGGTAAACAAGGGTGAAGTACCGTACAGTTAGTTTTATCTGAGGTCATTTGGAATAAAGGTTCCTGCGGAAGGGGTCACATGTAGATAAGGAAGATAAGAGAACAGTTTATTGTGTCATTAACAGTTAAAGCATACCAACCCAAATAATAAAATGCTAAAAGAGACCAAACAAATCAATACAGTTTATGAATGTCAGCTGTGAGTTTTGTTTTCACAGTTCCTGCAACAACTTAAAGTTCCTGTTGGTGGATTGTTGTCAGCGTTGCACATCAGATAAAACTTTTTGCTCATTCTGTCTTGCTAAATAGTTCAAGTTCATTCAGACTGGACAGAGAGTGTGACTATCATTTTTTCTCCCCACCAAGTCTTGCCATAGATCTTCAACCGGATTCAGGTCTGATCTTTGACTGGACCGTTCTAGCACCTGAATATATTTTGATCTGAACCATCCCGGTATATCTCTGGTTGTGTGTTTGATGTCATTGTCCTTCAGCTTCCTGGTCCCTGTTGAAGAAAAACATCCCCACTGCATAATGCAGCCACCACCATGCTTTCCTGTGGGAATGTTCAGGTTTGGACTTCATGGACAGAAAGTTCATCAGACTGGCAGCTGGGTTATAAAAAACATCAAAAATAAGGCATAATGTTCCTCCCACTTCAGCATTAAACCTTACTTTGTAAAAGTTCACCACAGAAAGTCCCAATAAATACATCAAAGTTTGCAGCTGTTTGAGTCAAGGGGTTTGAGTATTTTTAAGAGGCATTGCAGAAAAGTAGATAGATATTGTGGAAAGGGTCAGTATGTTTTCCTGACACTAATGATTTATGATCCAAAATGTAAATAGTGGATTTTTAAAGAGATTTTGAGAGTTTAGAGCACAGCTTCTGTGTGTGTGTGGGGTCTTTTTTGTTTGTTTTTTCCCCCCGAAACTAATATCTGCACTGCTCCTATTAGGGAAGGATGATATATCATAACATGTGACATCATTTGTCCCACTACAAAAATACCAATCCTCCTCAAATCAGCTAAACAACACGAGGCTGCAAAATATCAGATGTTCAGAACTAAAATTTCACCAGCCTGAACAAAGACACTGGAAAATCTTCCAGTTGCACGTGATGTGATATGAAAATATTATTTATTTATACTGTCATTTCTTTATTTGTCGAGGTATACATCTGACACTGGAACAATTATTGCAAAATGAATTGTAAAAATAGTAAAAAAAAAAAAAGAAAGAAAAAGAACTCACCAACTGCAGTGAATCACTGCCCAGAGGAATCCTGAAGGATATGATGAATGTAGAAGGGTGGCCCCTTATTATAGTCTGCTGTTTTATTGCTCCATGTTTGTGTTATCATATTTTCTCTGGTCCATTTGTAATTATGATAAAAAAGCAGAGTTAATGATTGTCATTTGAACCCAAACCAATCAGTTAGGCGGTGTCTTCATCAAACAGCCACGGTCATGTTTGTTCAGTGTGAAACGCAAACCGTCCACTGGGTTTATCTCCAGGCTCCTGTGGAAATATTTGTTTGTACCCCACATCCAGGTGGGCTCTGCTCCCTCGTTGGGTAACCTCTACAGACTCACCTCCTCCCTACTGCTCTCTGCTACACTACGGCTTGCAATCTTAGGATAAACTAGTTTGTCTTTATTAACTTATTTTTAGTCTTCCATCATATACAGTAGATCCCTGGTCTTCAGGGGTTATAGACTCCAGCATTTATCTAAAATGTATAAACACTTCTGTCTATTTTAATTATTTTAATAGTTCCAACACAAAATTTATCTCAGTATGTGGAAAAAGACACAATGGCAAATATCTTAGCAGTATCACAGAAAGTTCCAAGGGAAACAAAATGGCATCCCTGCATTGGCTACATCAATAGCATGTCAAGTAGCATCACACATGTGTTTACGCTTCCCCAGTTGCATTTTCCTTTGAATATTTTAGATTTGATCTATGAAAAGAATTACTCGATTCTACCAGCCATAACCAGACATGATCTGTAGAATTGGTTATGTGTCTTGACAAGATGGTTAAATAAATCTCAAAAAGTAACACTTCCAATTCTGATCTATAGAAAATTGAAGAGTTAAGAAATTCATTGAAATCTGTTGGTCTGAAATGGGTTCCAAAGGAATTTCTTCGGTTTTGGAACTTCAGTGAATCATCCTTTTGCGGATGCAAAAGGAGAAAACATGGAACAGTGGTGAGTCTTCCAAGAGTTGACCAGCCAACTAATATTACTAAAAAGCACATCAACAATTCATCCAGGAGGTCATGAAAGAACAAAGAACATCTGAAGCACTGCAGGGCTTGGATAAGGTAGCCGTGTTTGATTCAACAAGAATCTGGACAAAAATGGCCTCAATAGGAGAGTTTAAGGCACAAAGTCACTACACAGCAAAGCAAACTGGTTGTTAACCAGAACATCATACCTACAGTCAAACATGGTAGTGGTAGCATAATGCACTGGGACTGCTTTGCTGCTTCCGTACCCGAACTATGTGCTGTAAATTGAAGTAACCATGAATTCTGCTCTCTGTTGGACCAGTGGACTTGAGCTCAAGGTAGCAGAGCCAACATGAAGGTTTTCAAATGGAAACAGTATTGAAAACTTTTAAATCTGAATCTGAATCTGAATATGATCGTTCATGGAACTTCTTTAGAAATGTAAACTGTGGACGCTGACATTGGAGTTGGGGACGTATGTGCTTCTGCTACATGGTTAGCATTGACATGCTACTTTAGGCCTGAATAGCTTCGCTGATAGGCTAAGTACTATTAGCACAACTTGAACACAACAGTCTTTTCCAGTGTCACATCAGATTATGTTTTGAAGTAAAATTCATCACCGTTGTTAGTGAACGTCACATGTGCGTCAGATTTACGGATGTACCAGAAACACTTGAACATAAAGATTCTGGTTGAAAAAAAGTGTTTCATTTTAACGTGTTAAATTTATGTATTAGCTGACTCACATATAGTTAACTAATACGAAAGAAAGAGGACTTTAAATAAAGTGAACATTTTCCAAATTTCCGTAGTATCATCCAAAGTAACAAACAACAACATCAGTCTTCTTAGACTTAGAGACAGACTCTTGTTCTCAGCTGAGATCCTGGAGATGCTCCATTTCTGGACCAGGCAGGATGCAGAACCTGTCCTAGTTAGGCAAAGCAAGAAGTGAAGCTTTTTGTTTTCACGGTTAGGTTCAAAGCGACAGGGAAAAGGTTTGCATTTTATCAATAATGACCTGGTTCTCCATCAAGATTTCAGACCATTTTAACTGCCACCAGTCTGACACCTGGTCAGTTTGGGTTTGAGGTAAAAAAAAAACAACAAACAAAAACAACCGAAACCTGCTCTTTTAAAAAGTTAATAGAAACTATGAATGTTGCTCATAGAAAAGCCTAACCTTGTTCTGAGCACCGGTCAAAAATGATTAGAACACTAATAATTTTTAACCATTGCTTAAAACACTTTTCTTCTCGATGTGTCGTGTCCTATTTCAGTAAAATATAAGGAAAGCTTGTTAGCTTTTATTATTTTTATTTGCTGCTATATTTGATTCTGCGATATTGTTTAATTGTAGTTTGTATTTATTGCTGATGAGCTGATTATTGACTTCATACTCAGTGATTATGCCAGTTGTTTTACCAAGGGTCTATTTATTCACCTGATATAAATGCTCATATCAGGTTCAGATGATTTCGGAGTGAATTATAAAGTTAGGAGGAATTTCCAATAATGGAAAAATATCAGATGTCAACATTGGTCTAAATTTTTAAATCTCTGCGTTCATTTTTTTTTCTCCAAACATTTCTGTAACATTTGCCGCTCTGAATAGATTTTATTTAGCTTGACTGGAGTGAATGGGGTAATAAAAGGTCAAAATTTTGTTACTGCAAAAACTTTTAGCCAGAAAAAAAATAAGATTAGGACATTTATCTATAAAATATTAAACCATGTGTAAAAAAAACAAACAAAAAACAAAAAAACAAAAACATGAATGCATCCTTCTTTCTCATAACTACAACTTTAATGTTAAAATTTTTGCAGTGGATCGCATTGTATTTCAGTTAAAAAAAAAAACCCTTACACTGTGAAAACAGCTAAATCTATGATATAAAGAATATAGCTAAAGATTATTTGCATTTAGCATTGAGGTGTGATCTATTGCCAGACAGACCCTAGATTATTATATTAGTGATATAATAATCTAGGGTCTGTAAGGTGTTTTTTTTATTTTATTTTTTCCCCTAAATGTTCTCATCTGCCTTCTAGTTGTCAGAGGAAATGATAAACATCAGGTATCCTGAGGGGGTCAAATGGAGGCTTGTTAGAATGTCTGCCCTGAAGCCCAAAAGAAGTTGCTCAGCCCCTGCTGAAGTCAATCAGTGTATCAGAGGAAGAGAACTTTGTCCATTGAAGACTTTAAATGATAAGTTGACAAACACAAATCAGTCTGACCTGCACAAATCAATCCTTTGTGGTTTGAAAGAAGAAATTCTAACATTTGCAGACAGACCTATTAAATATTAATCATTTTTATGAGCACATGTGGTGAAAGGTATTAATTTAACTTTAGATTTAAAAAAGGACGTGTGTTCAGCAGAGGGGTAGAGCCATGAATGGCTTGTTTTCAAGAAATCCAACAAAGATGGGCGTGAGCTCGTTCTCGTCTCCTGTGGCTGTGGACACACACTGCGAAGGGGCGGAGCTTTAAAAACAAAAACAGCCAAGAATCCAGCGCCAACATGGACGCCAAGCTCACTCGCTCACCTCATGTAAAAGATCATGAGTCGAGCCTAAATGGCCACCGAAGCTGCTCAGTTGCAGCGCTTGAGTGGGCGGGACCAATGGCAGACTGGAGTCACATGACCCGCGCAGAGCCAGGCTGAGCAATTCCAATATGGTGGCCAGCTTGGCAGGTCTACGGTTCCTGTTGATGATATTGTTGTTCTGCGGGATCAGATTCGGCGCCTGCAGCCAGGAAGCTCCGCAGGTCGTGGGGCTGCGACTGGAAGACCCCGGGGGTCTGGTGCGCATGAAGGACCGAATCATCTCGGCGCCAGAAGGAGCCACGTTCCAGCTCCGTCTCTTTGGGGCTAATCTGAATGGAAGCTGGCCGTGGCCGTGGCTCGCGTTCGCTGGGGCGGCTGAGGGAGCCGCAGGGTCGGTCGGTGATGCCCCTGACCCGTGCAAAGAGGAGTCCAGTCGGCAGGAATCCGCCTTTAATGCAACGGAACCGTTCAAAGCGGACGAGCCGAACAGCGGGCTGCTGACGGTGGAGGTGAAGAAGCGTGGGAGCATCTCCGCGGATTTCTACCACCTGTGTGTACAGAGAGGGGGGATGTGGGCATCAGTGGGCCCGGACAGACTGCAAGTTTGTCCGGGAGAATCTACAGTCCCTCCACGGCTGGATATGACCCCGACGACAGCCCCCCCACGGCTTAATATGACCAAGACGGCAGTCCCCCCGTGGGGTCTGGCTCTCCTGGTGGTGCTGATGCTGCTGATCTGCGGGCTGCTGAGGACCGTAAACTTGAGCCTGCTGTGGCTCGACCCAGTGGAGCTCTATGTTCTCCACAGCTGCGGATCCGAGGAGGAGAAGCGAGCCGCCAAGCGCCTGGAGCCTATCAGGAGGAGGGGGAACTTCTTGGTGAGTTCCTGAGGTAGAGCAAGTTGGAACTTAGCACGATATAAGGGTTTCAGTCGATATTAGTTTATGTTTTTAATATCTGAAATGGTATCAAACTGGTGGTTTTATCTCTTTGTTCATATGCATGTTAATAATTAACGTTGTTTTGACACTAGATATTTATACAACAAACACTGGAATCGACCTGGTACCTTTAGACTGCTAGTTGACTGCTTAACCCACAGAGCCATGGTAGGTTCATCAGGATGTAGATGAATTAGTTGGTACTTTGGTTAGCTGGCCGTGAGAAGTTGAGCTGTTTAAGTCTTTCCTCTGCCTACATCCCCCAGAATACTGTGCGGTTCTGGATCGGATTTCAGTGAAATTATTGAACATTGTATCGGACGTATTATATACTGATATTGATAATGTGTTTATCTCACTATGTATTGTTATTAATTCGTTGCCCAGTCCTAGTCGGAGGGCCGTTTCGTTTTCTTCTTGCCAACAAAGCTCTTTCCCACTCAGACATGCTCGCTGCTCTTCCTCTGCGTCTTGGGCCACTCCGTCATCGGGGTGCTCCTGTACCGGGCGCTGGGCTCCATAGTCTCGGCGGTGTTCACCAGCGGCTTTCTGATCTTCTTCCTGGCTGAGCTGGTTCCTCACGTCCTGTGCTCCGGCTACGGCTTCCAGCTGGCGCCCGGGCTGACCTGGCTGGCCCAGGTCTGCATGGTGCTCACCTGTCCCCTGTCCTGTCCCCTGGGATTGATTCTGGACCTGGGCCTGGGGAGAGACATCAGCACCTGTGGGATACGGGAGAGAGCCATGGAGATGATCCGCGCCAGCGTCAATGACCCTTACAGGTACTATGAACAAAACTAAGATAATAATAATAATAATAATAATAATAATACATATATAGATACTACATTTAGCATATATTTGATATAGAAAAAACGATTTTAAATTTATTTAGAAACCTTCTCAATCAGTTAACCACCATAACATCACATCATTACATCCCTGCTTACTACTGAGAGTAATGTAATTACGGATTTATCAAAATGCGGTGTCATGAACATCGTGTTGAAATTCATCCTGGTTATTAACATTATCATAGTTTTGTAAGAATATGTTTGAAAAATTTGCAACTTTTCAGACAAGAAAATTGGTATCATCCAAAACTGGAATCGGTGCACCTGTCTCCCTCTCTCTCTCTCTCTCTCTCTCTCTCTCTCTCTCTCTCTCTCTAAATATATAAAATATATATATATATATATATATATATATATATATATATATATATATATATATATATATATGTATATATCGGATATTGATATTGACCCAAAGTTTTAAACCCTAAAAATTGTTATAGCATATTGATAAAAAAAAGTGTGAAGAATGGATTTTATTTATAGTAGTAATTTTTTTCTTGCTTATTTTTTAACAAACACACAGACATTTGTTCTATGTTACTTCATATTTACAGAAGGTCTATGTAAGAACTGCAAGGTTGTTTAAAAAAATTTAGATTTTCTAAACAATTAAAATTTTATTGTGAAGGTTTGAAAAAAGTTGAATCTCAAGTTCCTCTGCTGTGTTGACAGACCAAACAGACATCTGGCTCAATGGTGGCAGACTCAGCAATAGCTGCAGGCGGAAACGAGTGGAGGTTGAGGACTTCAGTCTCCTTGTCTTTCTTCTTTCTCGACAGAAAAACGTCCATGTTGGATAGACCAGTACAAGTAGAAAAGAAAAATGGCCACACTCGACAGATTATTAGTCACATGTTTGGCTTTACTCTGGAGAGGTTTTTGTGTTTTCTGCTAAAAATGCTCTCACGCCAAGTATGTGGGTCAGAAGCTGAAAAGTTTGGATTAATCATATTCATATTTAGGGTCATCGCTCATCCTGGCCTTTTTGTATTCAGATCACAGCAGGATGGGAAATATAGAAAAGGAACAGCCAAGTAGCAGGAAGTAACCTTTAATTCTCAAATAAACATTGATCCATTCAGGCATGATACCTTTACTTCAAACATATTAGAAACTTAGTGGTTCAACTGTTGATTCACAGTATGTCTGAAGCCTGAAGTGGAAAAGCTGCTTAAAGGGACGGTACATTTCGGTGGAATACCTGACCCAGATTGGAGAGAAAAAGATGCGCAAGACGATACTAAGCAGACTTCTACCGTGTTAAAGTTTAACAACAGAACCGAGGACATGTCTGCTGAAGCCTTTAGCTAGGACTGACTGCTGGGTCAGAAGGATTCGCAGTGCCGGATAGAGAATAACTTGTTGTTTGACTTGTTCCAGTAGAGTTGAGACATGTTTGAACTAGACACCCACAGACTGAAGACGAGGAATCTTCCCCAGGCAGGAACGTTTTCCAGGAATCGGTGTCGATTTCTTGGAGGCAGTCTCTACCTTCCTCGATTTCCAGAAGTGTATAAACAGATTGCCTGAGTAGATACAGTGGTGTGAAAAAGTGTTTGCCCTTCGTCCTGATTTTGTGTTTTGTTTGTTTTTTTTCTCTCAGGTTTCTCACACTTAAATGTTTCAGAACCTCAGGCCAGTTTTATTTAAAGACAACACAAGTAAACACAAAATGAAGTTTTTAAATGAAGATGTTTATTATTAACGGAGGAAAAAACCCCCCAAAAAAACAGACCTACATGGTCCTGTGTGAAAAGTTAAGAGATGTACCGATCCAATGTTATCTGTATTTGTCTTGATAATTGAAAAAAATTCTACATTTGGTATTGGTGACAATGTACAAGATTCATAAGGGCAGATCTATTCAGTCTAATTCTAAGCTTTATTATTTATTTTACCTTATAATTAGAATTCCTAATTGCACTTTCTAACCCATTTGAAAAAAGGTTTATTGCAGTTAATTTTTACATGTTTGAACAAGCTTGTGAAGCTATTGGTATATTTAAGTGTGTTATGCTGGTGCAGAGTTATCAAATAAATTTGTAACTCAGTACATTTATGACTGTGTTTAAAAAAACAAAATGTTTCAAGTCAGTCCAGCACTTTCTTGCTGTATCGGATCGGTGTCAGGCGATACTAAACCTCAGATATTGGTACTGGTATCGGAAATGAAAAAAGTGGATTGGTGCACCCGTAGAAATGGTAATCTGGGATGTGACATTAGAAAAAGTCTTCATGTTTCAGCTGATGATCTTCTAGAAACTTTGCGTCAAAGACCAGTGAGACGTTTGGACTTTGATTTTGAAGACTAGAATGATCTGGAACAGGTCTGATTGACTTCATTGAGAAGATCATATGTTTGCTGTTACTGACCCATGTTTGTGTGTGTTTGCACAGCGAGTTTGTGAAAGAGGAGTTCAGCCGTGGGATGCTACGCACCAAGACGGTGGAGGACATCCTGACTCCCCTGAAGGACTGCTTCATGCTGCCCAGCTCGGCTGTCCTGGACTTCTCCACCATGTCGGAGATCATGCAGAGCGGATACACCAGGGTGCCTATTTATGAGGAGGAGAGGTTTGTGTTTAACTTCTGCTTTTTTTTTAACGTACATTCCATCATTTTGATTTCTTCGTCCATCATCTTTAACTGAGAAGAAAAGATGTTATTTATTATATAAACAACTTGCAGATGCTGTTTTGCAAACACCAGAGGGCGCCATAAACAACAAACATAATTCCCAGTTTTAAGCTTGCTAATTTTTTATCTGTTTATTGTGAAGGATAGTATCAGCTGTGTAATATTGATTTAAAAAAAATAAACTTTTTTTTTATCGTTTTGGCCACTTTTCTGTAAAAGTGAATGAGGAAAAGTTAGAATTTTCTCATTCTTACTGAAGAAACTCCCCAGAAGGCTAAATCAACAGAATGATTTCTAGCAGTAATGAATAACTTCTGCTGGAAAATGTTTTTTTAATGAGCGACTTCTCATGGAAACATTACAGAACCCTGGTCAGACGGATCACTGTTGGTCACATCTTAACGTGTCTGAAAACATTTTAAACTCTGTCGTTCTCATGCACTAACCTTTTTTTAATTTGCTATTTTTTAGGTTATTTTGTGAAAAAGAGCAAATTTATAGCTGTGTTTAATAAAAATAGCCAATATGGACAAGAATTTTCTTTCCCAATTCTCTTTTATTTAGTTTAATTATGACAAAATATGAAAATATACTCTGAAGGTCTCTGTCTAAATGAAACTATATGTTCAGGGAGTTTAAAATTACTGAGGGTGTGTAGATTGAACAACACGTAGTGTTACAACTAGGGTGCAGCGATTTCAGCTTTCTAGTCAATTCCGATTTTTGACCAATGTTTTTTTTGTCTGAAAAGTTGATTTTTATTCTTTTTTTCCTCATATATTGACTGATTTTCCAAATTGAAGGAAATCTGGACCAATTCGTCGACACACTCCTACCTCTAAAGCTGGTTTAACACAGCCAGGGTTTTTCCTGAAGAACTTACTCACCTCCCCTAATGTTTAAGACTGCAGTTACAATGCAAAGCACATGGCCATCCTGGTGAATCAACACAGATGTGTTCAGGTAAAACGGGTAAAAGCAGGACTGAAGCTTACAAAAAATTGGAGGTTTCAATTTTTGAAAGCTGGTACAGATTTCAGTCTGCTCCATTTTCTCTTTAAGATCGATAAAAACCACAAAACGGGTTAATTCATCCTTTCTTGTAAATCAAAGCTTGTTGACAATAAAAACTGTAATGTGAAGCAAAGAGCAGCTCAAGGTTCTGTGGTTGTTTCTAACTCAATAAATCCCTAAAAATCTAATAAACATTTCTAGCCATTTCTAGATGGCAAATTCTAAGCTGATTTTCTATCATGTTACAGTAAAAGTGTCATCAATGGGACTTTCTGGGAATCAGACTTTCACCTAGAAATAAAGCCGACGGCTCCATGTTTGAACTTTTCATAAGGAATGCCGTCAACCTGAGGACCTGTTTGAAGACGCAGCCGCTTGCTTTGTGTTGGATCCCTCTGACCGACACGTTGTTTGTTTGTTGTTGTTTTTTTCCAGGTCCAACATCGTGGAGATCCTTTACGTGAAGGATTTGGCGCTGGTGGACCCGGAGGACTGCACGCCCATGACCACCATCACCAAGTTCTACAACCACCCGCTGCACTTCGTCTTCAACGACACCAAGCTGGACGCCATGCTGGAGGAGTTCAAGAAAGGTGAGCTAACATCTGAGTGACCAATCAGAGACCTTTCTGTTCTCACTTCACCCTCTACTCTCTGCTTTGACTTTGCATTTATTTGCAACACAAACATTGCAACACTAGATATAATAAAAAGATTTAACAACAAAAAATAAGACCCTAATCCTTAACATAAATGAAAAAAGTTATGTTATCTATTTTTAATAGATAGAATAGCTATATTTAATAGATTAAATCTATTTTTCTTTTTTTTTTCTTAGTAAAAACAAAATAAAAAAATGCAAATATGTTTTTTTTTTTTTAGGTAGGGACTAAAATTGTCCACAGTATTAAAACATCAACAGTTATCTAATTTTTCTGTCTATATAATATATTATCACAGATGTCTATGTTAATATCCCAAACATGTACTAGTTGATCTGGTATATCAGAAAATCTAATCACATAATGGAAAACAATAAAAACAGCCAACTTTGATTAGATTTCAACTTGAATAGGATGAAAAAAATGAACCAAACAGAAATCAAATGGTAACAGTAGAAATTATTAATAATTGTGAGGCAGTGGCACAAAAAATGCCAAAGGGACACAGATTGCTCTATGCAGTTAATGTGAATGAAAGACTTGAAGAAATAAAATGAATCACCAAAACATTAAAATTTCACCCTAAAAAACCCATCACACCTCACAGCGTACGGTATCTGCATCAACAGCAGATAGTTGAAAAAGTAAAACTGAATCAAAGCAACCGAGAGAAAGCCCTGAGATCCAGCAGGGATCTCATTTCCTAGCTGCTCTCTAATGCAGCATGACAACCGCACTGAGCATGTGCAGAAAGCTCGGTGCTGACTCAGCAGCTGCTGCAGCTGCAGCTGACTGAGCAGGCTGGAAACACTGAGAGCTTTCTGCTGCAGGAGGGAGAGAGAGAGAGAGCGTTCAATGGGTCGACGCTTCTGATTGGCCGCTGCTTAGAAAAAGCAAAAAGCAGTCTCTGAGCTCGTCTTGGAAGTAGCTAAACTTAGCCGCAAATCTGCTTAGTTTGGGAAATTTGCTTAGCCCTTATTTTTCTGATGATGTGATTTTTCTAGTGGCAGAAAATCCAAACTGTTAGCTTAGAGAGGAAAATATCCGTAACAGGGTTAAAATGTCTGCAGAGGAATGTGTTATCCAGCATTTTAATTCAGAATCGGAGGTTGAGTTTCAGTTCTGAGCATCAGACTGCTTTAATCCAACAAAGAGAAACGACTACCAAGAGCAAAAATGAAAACAGATTAAAAGAAATGAACACAATGAATAATTTGTTTTAGGCAATGTAAAAAATGAAGATGCAGGACTTCATAAACGTAACTACAGAATTAGAAATTCTGCCTATTAAAGGAATATACAGGTCTGTCATAACAACAAGTTTTGCTGGATGATAAATTGTTCCAGAATTTATTGCGATAAACAATGATGATGTTATATTGAGACTTTTTTTAAAGTAATATAATGGCAGTGGTATGATAATGCAAGAACACATTCTCAAAGATCAATAAACTTTAAATTCTAATAAATTTATTTATTTATTTCAAACAGACAGAAAAGACAATCAAGAAAGAACTAAAATAAAATTGAATGGAACAAACTAAAGAAATAAAAGTTAAAACAAATTATTATGCCCAAGTAACATACAAATTTTATATTTTCTGTTCAAAAAGGAACAGGTAGAATATGCAATATTTTATAATGTCCTGTCCCTTCCAATAAAGGTAACACTGGAACTGGAAGACATTTTGAATAACCAAAATAAATAAACAAAATAACAGAAATGACAAATAAAATGAATTATGAAGTCATGAGACCAAAACACCAAACTGAAGACTTTTATCATCCAGTTTTTGTTGGAAAGAGAGAAAAAAGAAAAACAATAAATCATAAAAATGATTACATTTTCTCATTTATCATGTGACTAGTTGATTTGCTACATTCATATTCACATAGCCATGTACAAAAGCCTAGCAGTTGTCATGGAGACAAGGGGACCCCCAATGTGAATCTCTGTGCTCCAGTTCTGTGTTCTTTGGACATTTAAGTGTAATCCTAAAAAGATGCTTCAGTTACAAACCAGGACTGGTTTGGGGTTCCAGTAAGTCTTTACTCAGTGAATTTTATTTTTTATACTCATTATTTTTGCTCCATTTCCAAGGACTTTTACACACACTTTAGTAGGTTTGAAAGTAAACTGCTGGCCATTGTGTGTGCGTGCATGCGTGTGTGTGTGTGTGTATTGGGTCAGACTTTTGTTGAGATCCAGAACAAGCAGGTAACACATTGTCTAACTGAGCTGAGTGATGAAGGTCCGTCTCTGTGTCTGGTGTTCATGTAGGCAACTCTCACATGGCCATCGTCCAGAAGGTGAACAATGAGGGTGAGGGCGACCCGTTCTACGAGGTTCTGGGTCTGGTCACCCTGGAGGACGTCATCGAGGAGATCATCAAGTCTGAGATCCTGGACGAGTCCGACGGCTACTGTGAGTGCCTGGGAAAACTTTTCCTGCCGCTGCGGCCGTTTGTTTCTTTGTTAAAACTCCCGTCTGACCTCCACAGTGGACAGGAAGGTGAAGCGTCCGATGACTCCTCTGGAGATCCCTCTGGAGCCTCGCGGCTCCCACGAGGAGTTCTCCATTTTCAAGCCTCCAGAGGGAGAGCCCAAGATCCACACATCACCACAGCTCCTGCTGGCCACGCACCGCTTCCTGTCCAGAGGTGTGTGCAAAATGAAAAAAGGTTATTCAAACAAGAAAAAAAAAAAAAAAGCTAGCTCAAAAGTTGTATTGATGGGTTATAAACCTGGCTTTCTAGTTGAAACTTTTACATGGGGATTGTAAATTCTTAAAAATTCTTAACTTTGTGCATCCAAAATATCAAATCGATTTAAAAATACATAAAATATCTTAAATACTGTAATCCCATATCTTAAGGTTTGTTGTGGCAGGACTATATTTATTTTTATATTCTTGTGTATGTATTGTTTTTTGTCAGACAAAAGTTTGAGTTTCACACTGACATTTTCATTGCGTTCGTTTACTCGAGGCAGAAGGTAGCTAGTATATTGCTAGCAAGCAATATACTCTTGCTAGCTGGCAAGAGTATATTAGCAAAATAACTAGCTAGCTAGTTATTTTGCTAATATATATATCCATGATGGAGGCAAAAAAGGCATGGTAGTTAGCTAGTTTTTTTTGTTTGTTTTACCAATGATGGAGGCAAAAAAACTAACTAGCTAGCAATATTATTTTACGTATAGCGGCACCTACTTACCCATGATAGAGGCGACAAAAAAGCCCTGCTAGCTAGCTAGTTTTTTATTTGATCAGTTATGGAGGCAAAAGAACTAGCTAGCAAGAGTATATTAGCAGCTAGTTACATGTAAACAAAACAACTAGCTGGCTATTTTTTATTTTTTTTTGCTTGTCCATGATGGAGGCAATGTCCAAAAATTGATTAAAATGAGAGAATAAAGCACTCTGGTGGGGTTCCACTTCAGTAGGTGTACAAATGGGTTATGAACACTCTTGACGATAATGCTGTGATAACGATAAAGACGCTGAAGTTCTGTCTTGCTGTTTCCACCTTCAGAAGTGGAGCACTTCAGCCCGGCTCGTGTGTCTGAGAAGGTGCTGTTCCACCTGCTCCGCCACCCCAGCGTCAACCAGGAGGTCCACTTCGACCACAACAACCGACTGAGCCCAAGCCACTACCTGTACACCCGCAACCACCCAGTGGACTACTTCATCCTCCTGCTGCAGGTACAAAGTGCCAGCTCAGCACGACTGCAGGGTTCCCATGGCAAAAAGTCTGGACACCACCACCTTAAGGCTCCACACACTTCATCCGGATCTGAACAGTCGACGTTGGCTCACATGGTTTTGGGGCTGTTAATTTTTGCAGACACCCTTTCACACCGCGGGGTTCCCCCATTCCCAACCTGCATCCTCTATTGTGCTTTTACAAAATGGTCCACAGAGAGATGTGGTTAGCAGCCATGTTGGCCACAAACGTCTGACCAATCACACAACACCTCTCATTGACATAGACGCATGACAAAAATTGCATGTAATGGAGAGCAGATATTTTGCTTCAACGCATCCGCTTCCACTATCCGGCCTTTGAATCCTCAGGAGACATGGATACTTTTAAAGAACGTTCATCAGACTCTGTGGGGAATTATGTACTTTTGTTCGAGTCTTTACTACATAGCTACACAAACTGTCAAAACCGTCAACTCTTGGATGGAGTTGACGGAGGAAACTGTTTGCAGAAAGGTGTGGCGCTCTCTCTGTGACTGTTTAGTAAAAGCAAAACAGAGGATGCAGGAAGAGAGTGGGAACCCCGGCGGGTAGTGAGGTGACGTATACCGATGTGGGACGGTTGTTCCCCAGGTGGTCTGCTCTGTTGAATACAGACGTCCAGGAACCATGTGACCGCACGTTGACTGTTTGGCTTCAGATGAATTATGAGAGAGACGTCAGGGAAAGACGGGGAAATACACCAAGATCCCAGACTTGGTCATTTGTAAATGTTTTCATATGAACATTTTTAACAATTAAAATAAAATAAAACCAAATCAGTTTCCTGTTATTGAGGCAGTTACAGCAGAGCTTTCACTGATTGATCCCTGTCTGGTTGTCAGGGCCGTGTGGAGGTGGAAATTGGCAAAGAGGGCCTGAAGTTTGAGAACGGGGCCTTCACTTACTACGGAGTGTCTGCTCTGACGCTGCCCTCTTCAGGTGAGATGATAGACTGCGGTCTGTTTTCACTGGAAGGCCTTCTAGTCTGTGCTGCTCACTGTCTGGAGCAGTGGGACGCAGTGTTTCATATTTAGATGACTAAGTATTAAATAACTTTTTTTTTTAAAGTTTCATGAAGTCATTGACATCAACGTTTCTTAGAGGAAATCTACTTGAATACAAGCTGAAAGAATTATTTAAAAATTAAAATGATTAATAGCCAGTTAAGTTTATTTAAGAAATTCTAATAAGCCAATCACACAATTCTCTTAAACATTATGGGACACTAAGGTTTACATGAATGAAATAAAATGTACCGTCGATCCCACTGTGTTCCTGCTAACTCTGGAAAAATCTGGGAAAAGCTTTATTGTTTCTCCTGTTGTCTTCTTGTCCTTTTTTGTCTTTGCTTTTGTCCATGTTTCTTTCTCTTCCTCTGATCATCTGTCTTTACTTCCACTTCCCTGGCTTGCAGATGCTAAAGTCTGTGTGCTGTAGAAACAGTCAAGTTTAGCATTTCCTATTTTAAGTTGACGGCATTAGACTGGGAACTGTGGAACCTTGAGTTTGGAATTGTAAGGACGTTCGACATGGAAAACTACGTAGGAGACCTCTGTAAATTGGAATATTCTAAGGTTTATGGTTTGTTGTGCTGGTTGCCACGTGAATTAGCTGCTTTATCAAAATCTAAAGTCTTCCTTTATTGTTTTATTCTTTTCCTCAGTAATAGTTTTGTTGCCCAGCAATGTGTGTAGATGAGGCTTCAGCAGACGGGCTGATTCTGAAGGAGTCACATCTAGAATCCTGTGGTTTGATGAAGGATCTCTGTGCAGTTTCAGACTGTGTGTGTGTGTGTGTGTGTGTGTGCGCGCGCGCGCGCGCAGTTCACCAGTCTCCGGTGTCAACCCAGCGGCACTCTCCCAGGGACCCCTTTGAGTCAGCAGACACCACCAGCCCGTCCAGCTACTGTCCCGACTACACAGTGCGAGCCCTCACTGACCTGCAGCTCATACGGGTGAGTGGGCGTGTCCACTGGGGCTCCTGGGGGACACTTAGGGGACACCTGTCCTGTTATTAAACTGGACTGGACTCATTTGTAAACATTTTTGAAGTTCAAAGTTTTCACAGCTGCTTGGAAACAAAACTTTTTTTTTATCCTTCTTGCATCCTTTCATTTATTTTACATTTTTCTTTTTCTTTCTATCTTTCAATTTTCACTCTCTTTCTCTTAATGTTTTTCCATTTGTTTTCGCTCCTTTTTTGCCTGTTTACCTCCTATCATTATTTCCTCTGCCGTCTTCTTCCGTCGTCTTTTTTTTCTTTTTTCAGTACTTTCACTCTTTCACATTTTTATTTTTGACTGCATTTGAACTTCAAACCAACATTTCTCCTTCGCCACATGGATACCGCTAACGTAAGCAGGTCATCTAATGTCCGTGACGTTAACCAAGCGGCCGTCTCGTTGTGCTGCAGGTGACCCGTCTGCAGTACCTGAACGCCCTCATGGCGTCGCGGGCGGGCCACAGTCCAGACCCTCCAGAGATCAAGATCCTGCCCAACAGTCAGACCAAGCTGCTCAACGACAGAAACGCCACACCAGGTAGCTTTGCTCAGAACGCTGTCTGACCTGCTGGGTCCGCTGCCTCGCCACACCTGCAAACATTTCCCCCCCTCCTCTTTCTGATGCCTTCGTAGTGTTTTTCTGTTTTGTTTTGTTTTTTTTTGTTCTTTTTTTAGGAATGTGCTTTCCTGTTTTTTTTTTTCCTCCAGCTGAACTGAATTAATTTTCTCTTTCTCTTTCTTTTCCCTCCTTGCGTGCCTCCTCTTGTCTCTGGCCCGCTCAGAGTTTCCTGTAAACTTTTCGTTCTTTGATACCATTGAGAACTTCTGTTAGAGGGCTTTGTATGCATGAGGTAAATCCAACCTTTAGCCCCAGTCACTGACTTACTCACAGACACCAATCCTGTCCTGCTGCAGGCTGACACATTAACCCCCTCATATCACCGATAAGCCCCTCTGAGCGTTCTGTCTGTACTCTAATCATGTGGACCTTTGTGGAGGCAGGAAGGTAAATGTGTCTTTACTTTTCTACTCCTTGTTCTTTGCTCTGTCTTTAAATCACTTTCCCCTTTCCTGTCCTACTGCAGCTGCAGCAGATGCTCTTTATTCTGTTCAGCCTCTGTTTCCCCAAAACAAAGATATAGTAATGTATGATTTAATTAGGCCACAGATGGTGATGAGCCACGTCTCTCTGGTGTCCATATTGGAGGTTCAACATGTTTAAAGAAAACTTCTTAAACTTGTAGAAAAAAAGTTCAAGCTTTCTTTCTTTATGAGATAAATCCTTGTAAAAGTGCCTCAAATTCAGTTCCATGTAAATTATGATTGTTATGTAAATAATATGGCTGCTCAATCATGAGGTGTCATTATTATTGGGAGATGAGGAGAAATACTTTTATCTAAATATCATACTGGCTTTAAATGATTGAATTACAATTACTTTAGCAATCTGAGCAGAAAGAAACTCCTCCAGTGCTTTGAAAACTATTTCATCAGAAAAGAAATGAAGCTGATGACCTCCAATATGTCCGCCCGGGGGAGCCGAGCCGTCGCCTTAGAAACAGTAGACAACAAACAGAGTAGATGGCTCCATCTTCGTCTTCTGTCGCTCTGGTCGTCCCTCCCCTGTATGTGTGAGTGCTGCCATCCCTGTCCTGACCTCAAGCCTCACCCCAGCTCTCCTCTGATTGGTCGGGTTCCACAGGTAGCAGCAGAGCCCAGGAGAGCTCCACAGAAGAGGAGGCTCATGGGTAGCACAGGAAACATTTCTGGTTGGATCGTAGTTATTGGACCAGACTGGAGAAAGAGAAAGTGATTTTTTTTCTTTTATTTAACTAGACCCACTAACTCACACGTCGCCATTCCTTCATGTGATCTTTAGTGATTATTTTATACATGTATGTACATATGTCTGTATAAATATAAATATAGAGTGGTAAGAGAAGATATGTTACCTTAATGGAATTATTTAGTTTTCTGCGTTAATTGGTCCTAAATGTGATCTGAGCGTTTCCTGCTGCGAACCGGAGACTGAACCCTTTGATTGGATAAAGTTCCAGAGAACGGCTTCGTCTGCTTCCTCAAGACGATTCAATGACCCTGCGCGTTCCCATGGAAACCTAAACCGGGGAGTGCCATCACATTCACAAAAGAGACACCAGAGGAAAACGGTGCATTTAAATGCATTCGAATAAGAGGAAACCAGGTCAGAATGTCTGAGTTAGAGCCGTCATTTGTCAGGATTCCTTTGGAATTATGAAAATAATTGTTTCTGTCATTGTAAAATGTGGAAAAGAATCCCAATTATGTTTTTTTGTCTTTTTTTTTCTATATATATATCTCAGATCAGACAATTAGCATCCAAAGATTCATCATTCTCTTTGTTCCTTTACTTCCACAGAGGGAACAACTAAACTCTGGTTTTTCAAAGCCATTTTGGGGGTTAATGAGGAATATTCAGGTGGTTATGAATTCTGTCTTCCTGCATACTGGACTCTGGATGTACCTGTAGTTTATTGTCTCTGTGGTGTCCTGCCACTGGTCAGACCATGTCCAGCTCCAGTGCTTCAACAGGACTTTTCCATCAAACAGGTTCTGCTGCTAAACTGGGCGAAGTTTGCTGAGCAGGAATTAGCTTAGCCCAACGATTTGTGTCAAAGCCGCCAATAAGATCGGAGGAGTTTGAGGAAAGTGAGTTTTCTGGGGAAAAAAATGCAAAGAGGAAATAGTAGAAGAGAAAATAAATCAATATATAATGAAAAAGAAAAAATACATGAAGTAAAAAAAGAATATAGAAAAGCTCCAGAAGAGGATTAGGCCCACTGGGAAAAATAATTCTGATCTTTTTTTTTTCTCAGAAATTCTAAGAAAATAAGTCAAAATTATTATTTTTTTTCTTTTTCAGTGGCCCTAATCCTCTTCCATTAAAGAAGTAAAATACACACTATGAAAAAAGTAATAAAATAAAAAGACTGATATGATTTGAAATAAAGGAAAATTAAATAAGTTGTGTTAAACTGATCCTGTTGAAAATAACCAAATATTAATTTATGTTACACTGTATCATCAAATAAATTGAGAAAGCTCTTACTGTTTTTGTTTACTACAAGTAATATTTGGCATGTAAATTACTTCAAGCCATTTATTTATTCTTCGTTTATCTATGATTATGCCAGGTTCTGTCCTCCGTACGCCTCCATGTTTGTTCTGGAGAATGTAGCGTCTCACCTCAGATTTCCAAAAGTTTGCCAACATTTTCCTGATCCAGTTTGTTCCCAGACAGGCGGAGTTGGAAAACTCAGCAAGATGAAAACAGAAAGACATTTTTTGCTGTACGTTCATTCAGTCCATTCAGCTGAAAGTCTTGCTCTCTCTCGCTCTCTCAGCCTGAATGAACAGCAGACATGCCTCGACATGCAGAACCCAGGCTGCCTGAGAGATGGAGGATCAGACGTTTACTGCATTTAGTAATTCCCAGTTTAGCACCAGAACTGCTTTGGTGGAAAAGTAACTTGATGTGATTACTTGGTGCCATTTTTATTTTATTTTATTTTTTTTTATTTTTTTTACCTTGCTCATGGTGATCGTTCTTTGTGAACTTTGTATCCTCTGAACTGGACAGCTTACACAACATTAAATAATGTCATTTCTAAGTAATTTTTGAATGAATTAGAATATTCCCTGAACATTGTTTTTTATTTAATGTTTTTGAGTCAAACGTCGCTCACATTTCTATCACTGACTGCTCTTTAAAAGAAAAACAATAATCAACTCCGGCTGACTTCTACTCATGTCTTGATGTCAAGTTTCACTTCCATTCTGATTTTTCAAAGATTGTGTGTGTGTGTGTGTGTGTGTGTGTGTGTGAAGTAAGTGTAAAATGTTCCTGTTTTTGGAAATGCAGCTCATTTTAGAGGAACCCGTTTTATGTTACGGAGGCGGTGCCTTTTCTTTTTTCTTCTTTCTTCCAGGTTTAGCTCATTGCACTAAACTGTTGCATTATCATTTCGTTTATGTACATATCCAGGTGCCAAAGTTACATTTGTGTCTGCATCTGTTTTGTCTCTCAGTGGAGATGTTAGTGATGATTTTAATCCAGTATTCTGCATTTTATAAGATGTGAGGAGAATCCTGATTTTTTTTCTTTCTTTCTTTTTTGGATTGTGAAGTAAAACAGATCTTGCATGTGGTCGACATTTCAGGGTCTGATCAGAACTGTAAGGCCTAAATAACATGATTTCTCCATTAGTGGAAAACTGTTTTCATGCAGAAAATTACGGTTTTTTTGGGGTGGAATGTTTATCAAAATTGATTTAAATAAAAGTTAGTTTCGAATGTAACGTGTTGATTCTGAACGAATATTAAACTAAACCAGGTTTCTGCAGCCTGCGGTTCTGGAGCAGCTCCACAATCACACTTTTAAAAAATTGGCTAAAAAAAGTTAAATGTACCTGAAAATGGATCCAACAACAAACAACATTCTACAAAATTCTGCTGCATTAGTAAAAAAAAAAAAAAAAAAAAAAAAAAATGCTATTTTTTTTTTTTGGGAATTGGGGTTTTTTAAAAATAAAATTTTTCCATGCCTCAAAAAA